AAAAAAAAAAAGGATGATGATGATTTACGTACGCTTTGATCCACTAGTATGTGGCTGTGTTGAGGCAGGATTTCCATTGGCTTAGATGGAGTACGGGGAGTTTTATGATGGTGCTAAATTAGTATGACTATGACGGATCATGGCACGGCAGAAAAATGGGCGGGGGGGCAAAACGGCATGGTCGATCTAGTTGTCTGGAAGTTTGTTGATGTTGATGTCGATGATGATGTGCTTGGAAGGATCTGACTAGACGCGAACCGAGGGCGTATTTGTCGGAGATGGCTCCGCTTTCAAGCTTTATTTTGCGGTTTCAGCGGCCTTGAATCGGCTGTCTGTGCAGGGTCTGGAATTCAGAAACTGGGGAGGCGCAATGCCCCGGACAGATCGTGTTCTCCTTGCAAGATGGGCTTTTGTCCATTGAGGTTCCCAGCAAAGATCAGAAATTTCCGGATATGGCAATGACCTAAATACCAATACCAATACCAATACCAATACGGTACGGCAGGCAGGCAGGCAATCTACTATCCGGTATGAACTTTAAACGACGCACCCTCCTAAGCTCTTAGCGCACCCCGCTGCTGGAGCCGGGGCTTGGCGGAGGGCCATCCTGACTTGCATTGGATCTGGATGTAGCACAGCTTAGCTTCTTTCAGTACGGAGTGCATGAGTATTGTTAAGCGCCTACTAAGGGCGACTATCTATGAGGAGGACTGCGTAGTATGGCTGCCATTCGCATTCATTGTTCTAGTATCGGTGCTCCGTCTTGATATTCGAATATGCATGTATCGTACCGTACCGTACCGTGCAGTATTGTCGGCCTTGCAAGCCGGGAAACGAGCCAAGCAAGTGACGGGCGTCCACTAAAAGGGTATGACACGGACACTGCTCTGAAACAATTTCACTCTAAGAGCCTACTCTACATGCTAAGATAGTGCATGCAATTAAGTTAAGCACAGAGTGCATCTAGTTAGTTTGTTAGTTAGTGAGTAGCTTAGTGCTGAATACATACTGCTCGCCGCTGATTGGCTGCCGGCCGGGGTGAACTTTCTGCATTGCCTGTGACTCGCCCCCGTCCCTTCCTCTTCGAGGCCATCACCACCAGCGCTGCTTAACCTTCCTGCATCTCTCTCCCTCACTCCCTCTCACGCTCACACACACAAGCTCTCTTGTAACACCGTGTCCTCCTTCCCTTGAACTTCAATTTCTTCCTGTCTCCAAGATCCTAACTATCCTTCTTTGTCTTCGTCTGGTCCAGTACTGTTGATTTCTTTATTTGCTCGAATGCCCTTTTAGCTCTTTGTTCTTCCTTTCCCCTCTGTCCGCGACAGCTTGCATATTCCAACAGCCGGTGGTGTGACTCACGAAAGGGGTGGAAATCGACAGACTGGAAACATCAGGGAGACGGCGCATGGGGCTTGCCACACTGTGGATTGCCTTTCCCGCTACGCATTGCATTGTATGTGACTGGATGATTGGGGGTCTGCGACAAGGATGAATCCATTCCCAGCACCATTGTTATCAACAGCACCCTCAAACCCCAGCAAACAAGGCTCCCCATATGAATCGGCTTCGCTCCTGGCATCTTTGTCCCCCCAAGGCTCTCTGCCTCCGCCATCTGCCCTAGCATCCGCTCCCCCAAGCAGGCCGGGCAGTGGTTTGCAGATGGCGTATTTACTTCATCCGCCCGCCCAGCAGGGTCCTACGCTACCCATACCCCCTACTTCATCGCCTTATGCTCATTCCTACGACTCGGGATCCAGGTCTCCAGCGGATCGCGCATCCGTCCTGACTGATGGGAATGGATCTTTACCCGATGCTCCGAGTCTTGTCCCTCACATGGGAGGCTCTGTGGGACCACCCCAACAGAAAAGAGCCTACCGGCAAAGACGAAAGGATCCCAGTTGTGACGCTTGTCGCGAACGGAAAGTGAAGGTAAGAAAACCAATCACTAATTATTAGCAATCAGACTAAATTCGCAAACTGGAACAAACATAGTGCGACGCATCCGAGTCATCAAGCTGTACAGAATGCTTGAATCGAAAGGTTCGCTGTCAGTTCACTAAGGAAACCAATAGGCGCATGTCTTCGATCAAGTTTGTCACCTTCTCTGTTTCCAAAGGCCCGCCTTTGATTTCCGTTCTGACTTTCGGGCCATTTAGACAAGTTCAAGATCTTGAGAAGCAATTAAGTAGCACAAAGCAGCAATTACACCAGCTAAGGTCGGGTGTTTTGAAAGCTGATAGTGTGATGGATGTTGAATTTGACATGAGTGGTCAACCGGTACTAAAGCTTCCAGATGTTGGCTATCGGCCGACCCGTCAAAATCGACCTACAATACCACAAGACTTTTCAAGAGTTCGCGCCAATGTACGCAACCAAGGTTATGGAATCATAAAAGTGCCGCCACCATACCGACAAGTAGTGTCACGATCCCTCATTCAAGATAACGGACCGGCGCTTCCTTCAAAGCCAGTTGCAGATCGACTGCTAGCACAATATCACACCTACGTTCACGCAGTCATGCCCATTATTCACTGGCCCAGCTTCATCTCCGAGTACGAATCATTATACCAGCGCGGAACGCTGCAAGGAACTAGTCGAGAATGGGCTGCTGTACTTTTTGGCGTTTTGGCTTGTGGTGTTATGCACTCTTTGGAATCGAACAAGCAACAGGAGGCACAAGGGTATCTCTTGGTTTCACAGACTATCTTGGATATGTGGGTGGACGAGTTTTCAATGGATCAGGCCCGCGTGGCACTTCTCGTAAGCATTGCTTTGAATGAGATGAATTCGAGGTCTTCCAGCTGGGTCTGGCTCGGTTCGGCAGTCAGGGTGGCGCAGGATATCGGTCTTCACATTGAATCAGGTCCTTGGTCAGCGGTTGAGCGCGAAACGAGGAGACGACTCTGGTGGGGGATTTATGCGTGGGACAGGTATGATGGCACTTGGGCACAAAGAAGCCGACTATATGCACTGTATGGTATAAATACTTACTTTCTCGCAGACTGCTATGCTTAGAATTGGGCAAGCCCATTTCGATCCACGATCAAGATTGTGATGTCGACCTACCTTGTCCGGTGGACGAGCAATTCATTTCAGAAGGGGCGCGTATTCCAGACGTCTCGCAAACAAATCCTTTGCTAGCCACTATTCATGTGGTTCGCTCAATAGGGCAGATAAAGAAAACCTTGAGATCTCCAGTAATTAGTCCTGCGACTCTCGAGATATTCGATCGCCATTTCAATGCGTGCTTAGCTACCTTCCCGATTCAATTCCACCCCAAGTCGGATAACCTTCTTGATCCCAGCTCCTTGGCGCCTATAATTTATCTCCAAAACGCGCGCTTCATTTTACATCGCCATAATATCTCTCCCTATTGCCCTATGGACCTCCGATCCTCCGCGTTAGATCATTGTCTATCGATCGCCCAGGACACAGCTCGCGTTCTTTCACGATGTATGCACACGCCGCCAGCGACACCTGCCTACGCAGGCGCCCACAATGAGTGGCAGACCCTGTTGGCATCTTCGGCTACAACTATGCTATGTACGCACATTTGGCGTTGTTTGATGATTCTCATCTTCCGTGAAGATTTTGCAGCTGCCTTGGTATGTGTACAGGCTTGCAAAACTATTGGGGACAGCCATGTCACTACAGGACCATGCGGGCGTTATGTCGCCTTCTTTCTCAATCGTCTACTAGATCGCCTTAGACGCAATGATACTGGCCCAATTGACCGAGATGAAGAGATGGTTGCGTATGTATCGGGCGACATGCAGAGCACGACGAGCGGTAGCTGGATTTGGCAAGGTAGCGAAACAGGCAGTCAACTTGAAAGCATGCCATCGCAAGGATCAACACCTTATTCATCGTCAATGCCAGAAGCTACGCAGAGAATTTCCAGTGACTCGGATTGGGAGGGATGGGAATGGATCGACAGGACGATACAATATCTCGCTACTGAGTTACACCAGCGGAATTATGAACGACGAGATATCCCTCCAATCGTTGTTCCACAGTCATCCGATTTTCAAAAAGTGAAAGAGGAGTCAATTTCAACGACTAGCAGTTCTCCTTCAAGATCCAGTGCACCTAGCTCGCGCATGACCATCGCCAATATCATATAAAAACGGTGCTTTTACCCGCCTCGGCGGTTTTCAGTTAATTCCATATATTGCATTTCGGGGAAGAGAAGGGCGGGGGTGGAGTTTGATTATTTTGCGGTGGCGTTCGACGAGTGGGTTGGTCACATCATAGCATATTCCAAATTTTTTTCTCTTTTACTATTTGTTTTACTTGGTGTAACGACAATCTATCTATGCCGGCGATGAGCAACGATTTTCCTCCCATATTTTCGCAGGGCATTAATATGATATGCACGGTCATGCTTGAAACATAAAAAGGGGCAATATGCCCTCTGTGTGTATCAATTTCTTTTGATTCTGATTCTGTGAAAGATATATTACTGATTCATGTAGATTATCTACAAATTTCATCCGGCCTGTGTAGATGTCTCATATCTGCATCAATAGAAGCCAACCCCGGTAAAATCCTTCAAAGGCCGATCATACTATCATGAAGAGAATCGTTCGATTTCTCTATTCTTAACTCATAACATTACTAGGGATAGCAAAGGGTGAGGCAAGGAGTATCTAGTTAGACATCCAAGTTAATAGCCTTCCCAAATCGCGCATAAAGAGCAGCTTTTAACTGCGACAATTCCTCGCGCAATTCCCCCAGCGAGTCTTCAAGGCGTGAGACTTCTTCATCAATCTCATACGAGGAAGTGGAGAGAAGTGATTGTGCGTCGGTGAGAGGGAGGTGGACAAATGAGTCTCCAATTTTGTATCTTTCGAAGCACGTCAGATAGACCGATAGATTTGCTGAGTAGATTGAAAGGAAGTTGTCGGGGAGAAGAACTCACGGTACTAATTCATCTTCATCTGCTAGTTCTAATTCGGTTGATATTTCTTCGAGATCTTCTTTATCTTTCTGGAAGATTGGTTAGTAGCTAGCTAGCTAGTATATGATACAACATAAACCACCGATAAGATGTCAAAGAGACTCACTTGTTTCCCTTTCAACCGCTCTTCGAGCACAGTTTCCCGCTGATGCAGTCTGCTGAATCGATTGATTTTCTCTTGATCTTCGCGACGGACCTCGTTGTCCTCGCCGCCTGCAGAGGCCTCCTCGTCTTTGGATAGCTAAGGGCTTGGTAAGTACGTGCGGACTGGATAGAATGTTGTATGCATTTATGCAACAGGGAAGGGGATGCTCTCGACGTACCATTCGATGTTGCAGCATTTTTTTGGGATTCACTGATGTTATCCCCCAGAAATTCAAGTATTCTATTCCAGTATCGGGGATCAGAATGTGTTTGTCTTTTTGGCTATGGATTTTGTGGATATCCCGCACGTGGTCTGTGCATGTAGTCAAGATGTAATTTTCGTCACAAGGCCGTATCGCCCATACAGTTGGGTTGGTTAGTTTACCATACAATAATACGTAGCAGCCTTGGCTCTCGTGATCATCATCGTCGTCGTCGTCCAAGCTTGCTTAAGAATCGCTCACGGGCACATTATTGTCTCGCCAATTTCTGTTCCTCCGTTCTAGCTCATTCTCTTATTGGTTGCGTCCTTCTACAAACCGATGGTTTTCTATTTCTTCTCATATAATTTGTGGTGATTTGTAGTTTGCGCCCTCTCCGCCCGTCGTCATGCGAGTCCACACACCGCAGACCGCGTGTGCATCCTTACTATCACTCCTCGTGCCATCCTTCACATCCGCTCTCGGCTTCGATTGCTCGAATATCCGTGTTGATAATATCGGTTTCGACCTGAGTCCGTTGGGTGGTGTACATGAGATCTCGCATTTTGTTGAATTCGAGGACCATTCCGTCAACACCACCTATGTCTTGAACATTTGCAATATTCTCAAAGGCGCTTCGAGGCGCGGGAATTTGAACTGTGGAACATCGAAGAATAGTTTGCTTTTCTCTCTTTTGCCTTTTCATTACGGAGCACTTGCTAACGCTCTGGGTTTGTTTTTTAGTTTGCGGATTCAGAGAGATCCACGACTTCGACACAGACACAATAGAAGAGAAGGATTTACCTATTGCCGGACTGGACCCGCTCGGAGGCGGCAGCAAGGATCCTGAGGTTACTCGTCTGAAAACACAGGACCCTTCAACCGAGGGTATTCGAGTCAAACTATCCGGAGGCCAAATTAAGGATGACGATTCAAAGCGATCAAAGCCAGCTTCAGCCGTCATCGAGTTTCAGTGTGATCCTGACCGCACAGGTCTGGAAGGTCTCAAGAATGACGATGATATCGATGAACAAGAGACAAAGAACAAGATGAGCCGCGATGGCAATGGCGATGACGGCGACAGCGACAGCGATCCCAAGGAGGACAAGACCCGAAGTCTCCAATATAAGAGCTTTGACCTGATTGATGACAAGTCCTATGTCCTACGGCTCGATTGGAAGACGAAATATGCGTGTGAGAATTACAAGCGAGAGAACCCGGCAGAGTCCACTGGTAGCGGTCACTGGGGACTGTTCACTTGGTTGATCATCATGTGAGTATCGTCTATCTTCTATTATTCTCGTACTTGACTCCAAGCTAATCATCGCTCTTCTTCGCAATCCAGTATCTTTCTTTCTGTCGCCGCCTATCTCATCTTCGGCTCCTGGCTAAACTACAACCGATACGGTGCCCGCGGCTGGGATCTTCTCCCGCACGCCGACACCATCCGCGACTTTCCATACATTTTTCAGGACTGGATACGTCGCGTCATCAACACGCTTCAAGGACCCGGGGCAAGGGGAGGATATGCCGCTGTATAATATAAACATTAATCTCGTTGCTCATTCATATATATCCCGAAATGTATGGGGGCTTTATTTTTTGGCTTTCTTTTTCTTTCCCCCTTATTCAAACAATTATCTTGCTTCCCCGCGTTCATTGGCATGATCTGAGAATACATCTACGTATGTTTGACTTTGAAATCAGAGCCCGTTACAAAACTGGCGCTGTGTGCGATGTATCTATCCATATATACTGCGCGTACCTACTTAGACTTTGATCAATAGAGGTGTTTGCAATGTTGCATTGATCTATCTATCTTATCAGATTATCGATACGTCGATACGCTTCTAAATATGCTTACCACTGTAGTAGCACTCTTTTCCCTGGATAATGAACGCATAATACGGAGTAATGCTCAACTAGAGTAAAGATTGACAAATATGTGGTGAAATTTCTGGTTGGGTAGACCAAAATTGCTGGTGAGAAGATAGAGGCATCTTTGAGCTGGCTAGGCTGGCTAAAGAACGAAAAGCTGGCTCGTGCGTCAGTATCCAGAGTTCACATCAGAATCAGGAAAAGAAAGACATCGGGGAAGAGAAGATGAAGCAATCTGTCAATATAAAAATATCCCCCCAATTTCAAGACCAAGTCATCATTACTCGCTAACGCTAGTTGAATGAATGGATTAAGAATGGAAATTCCCTTCTCCTGCACAATCTGAAAAGTGAATGCTAGTCCTCGGATTTATCATTAATTAAACTTTGAGTGCAAACTGCTTCAAGTAATGGTAATCTGCCATGTTGCGATTGACCGTCTCCCGAATGACCTTGGCGCCCTTTTCTCCGAATTTCTCTCGCCATTCGGCGTCAAACTCTTCCTCGGATTTGAAAGATTTGCTCTGTGGCATTTGGGATTAGCCTCGCGCATTCTGCTTGCAAGAAGAATCCGTAAAAGAGTAACGAATTGAAGATGTTGCCACTACTTACATGAGTACGGGCCTTGAGTTCTTTCGAAGCGATGGCATCGTCATGGAAGCCCTTCCACTTCTCAAATGCGGCACGAGCAAATGCATGGTCTTCTTCAGTGTCCCAAGAGAGCATCTCAGGTTCGAATGGAATGCCAACACTCTTGCAATATGTCTCAATCATCAGGGATGGGTTGTCTAGAAGGTCGTCTGCATCTACGACGCAGATTTCAACACCCTTCTTTTTACTAGAAGGACGGTGCTGGTGATCCACAATCCCGTCTCTTTTGTCTCCTCCATCGCCTGTAGCTACCGGGGTTGCGACTCGTGGTCCGACAAGACCGACTTTTCGCAGATAATCAAACACCCGACGCACTTCGTCATATCCCGCTTCGGATGGGGAGAATTCATGGAACCCAGTCACATCGTCCAGCGGCGGAATTGTGCATCGATAGTAAGACGGTATGCTGTAGTGTGGATCGCGGATGAGGAAAGTGAAATGAAACTTGGACAGGAGCTCCAGAGGCACCACGGTTGGATTTTCGGGCTCGGCTTCTGTCGCATAAGGGTAAGGGGGAGCTTTCACTGAAGCTCCCCCATTCGCGGCCACGCCATTTGCTCCATTAGCTGTGGCATGGCCGTTGACATCATCGTTGGTGCCAATGCCGCGTTTCACCTTGAACAAAGATGGAGCAACGCTAGCTGGTTTTCCGTTGGGAGGAACCAGATAGTGAATGATGTCCTTGATAAAAACTCGTTTACCCTGCGTTCCATCGGCAAGGTAAGTCTCAAATCAAGGGCGTGGTTTTGTTTGATAAGCAAGCGGCGGTGGACAATGACGCAAGGGGTTATGGGAAGCCACAACCTAAGTACGAAAAGGCAAGAAAGGGATAGGTATGGATTTGTTATAAAAACAGAAATTGAAGAAAAGAAAAGCTAAGCAAGGATTGTCTAACCTGAGTGGACTCCCTTTCAATCCGATCAAAGATAGTTTTGAAAGTAGACGTGCTGAAGCCGCTGGCGACTCGGGCCTCTTCGTCATCCTCATATCTTTCACTTAGCCTCTCCGGGCCAAAGTAAAAAGCGTCTCCAAATGGCTCGTGGATGCATTGGAGAGAGTCCCGACGGGTCATAAAGACCTATATTAAGAGCGCCAAGTCAGTTGGGGATTCACCCCTCGGGGCGCTCTTGAACGCAGCAAAAAGGGAGTGTATGATGTACCCTTTCAAAAGCCGTCGAGCATGCCCGAGGATGAGTAGCAACAAAAATAGGCTTGTCGGACATGGCTTAAAGGAAGTTGGATCTTCTCCGCCAATCTCAATTATGCCGTCGAGCACGTTGCTCTAGTCGAATGAGATGCAGACTGCAGTGGGTTTTCTTCGAGCACACCAGCTATGCAGAAATCACGCAAGAAGCGACCGATAATCCTGCGAAACGATCAGCCTCAGAACTCAAGCTTGTCCTCAATAGTCTTAAATTCCCAACAACCGCTAGTTATCTGAGCGAAACCAAAACAAAATGAAGATTCTCATTTACCTATAGCCTAGCCTATAGTGGAATATTCAGACTGTAGGCACAAGAGAAACTGGCATGAGCAGCGAAAAGAGAAAATCTCTTCTTCCAGCGACGGGATGCAGAGAGGTACTTATTAATAGTACTGTCTGGGGGCAAACTTCCTATTCACTTAGCAACCTAGTGACCCGGCTAGGAAGGGTTGTCGATGGCAGATGCTGTCAAATAACTAATGCAACACGAGTTGTTCTGGACAGGGTCACCGGCAGGATAATGGAGACCACAGCTGACGAAGGGCCAACCACAAGGCGAGAGTCCCCAGTAACAGGCCAAAGAAAAGAGGGTCACCAGCGCCGGAGGAGTGGATTCGGAGGGGTTAATCAGGTTTGCCATCCATCCATTCAGCCCGTGTTGAATGGCTGTGGGTAATAGACTAATAGTAATACAGTCGTTGCTTTGGCCGAGTTCAACCACCCCCCTTCTGGCCAATCATGCAACAGTCATCGGCAAAGCAAGTCTGAATTCATACTAGCCAGGAAAAAAAAAGGCCTCGATCCTGCCCTGTTTAGTTTTGCTCGGTTTCCATTGTATCCGCCTTAACCGTGGTAAATCGTGGGTATGTTGGATGGAATGATGCGTAACTAATGTTGTGTCTCGAGTAACCTACTGTATGCATGCATAGATCAGTTGATCCATGGAATTTCATCTCGACGTAGACTATGGTCTTTCTCGTTGACGCTTGATAGCTGTAAAAGTGGTTATTTCTTCTCGCAGTCGAAAAGACCTTTTCCTTTCCTCTGGCTTTCTCCATGCAAGAAAGTTCATCAGGGACCCAGCCAACTCTCGAGCGCTTGGACTCCCCTTGGCGCAAGTGCAGAACCTGAGGATTGAAGGGGTTTAACTCAGGATCATTCCCATAGACGAAGCAGAAGTGAAAAAGGACTCGATGATGTAGTGGGTGAGTGAGTGAGTGAGTAGCAAGAGAATAAAGATGACAACACAACATATAGACACCCATGGTTATAAGGAAAGAACTGCTACGGTTCTTCCTTCCGCTCCCAGGGCTGCTTGCACATGACCTCAAACGATGGTCCGTCAGTGCCTGAGGCTGTCCAATCTCCATCCAGGTTTATCCTTAGACGAGCCAAAAATTATCTGCAATGATTTCTAAAGTGCTTACTTAGACATGCTTATGAGCCTTGGGAGAATAGCTCCAGGCCAATCAGGGCATAGCAGTGACAGCGTGAAGTCAAGCTACGATGCCAGAAAAGACTTCCTTATATTTCGTCCATGGCTACCTCTCAATATATCTCAAGCCGCTCTTTCGATACATGTATGCACCAATATAGGGAATCCGGTACAGTGGAGAATTCATAGCGCTGACATTCACAACGAAAAAGAACCTTTTCACGTATGAAGCCTTTCCAATCTTGCTAGCCGTACTATATATGCGTGCAGCCCTCCCTGTCTCTAACCCTGCCGTGATGGACGCCATGAGCGAAGAGGATATGGCTATTGAAATCCTAAATTCAGGTTTCTTACTACCAACACCTTCGGCAATAGCGACGTGGACTGCAAAGACCTGTCCTGTTTTTCCAAGAAAACGTATCACATCCGGCACACGAAAATCTTGCTTGGAGAGGCATCAATGCTATATGCTCCATGCAAAACGAAAGCCGTCAAGCGACAGAGAATAAACCATCGCTACTGCATTGTGGTGGAACGGAAGACGTAACGGAGGATGAGGTAGTCTACCTCTCTTTGGATCGATATATCCATCCTTACGTGCAATGTCCGGCTCTCGGTTGTCCAATCGGTCATCAAAGAATAGTCGTGGACTCGAAGGGGCAGACGAGAAATTAATGCACAAACACTTCCTTTTTTGTTCAGCTAAGAATTGGCTTAACGGCGGTTCTAGCCATGACACATGTCATTGCTGTTTGTGTTGTTGCATTGACGTGTTTCTTGCTGTGTGTTGGAGGATCACGTGATGTGACGTAGATGATTCCAGAAGGCAGCGGAAGCTGGGCGAATAAACGGGCAGGCGCGGGGTCTGCCGTGACGTCTCTCCTGATGGCGGCTCTTGCCTATATCTTCTGCCCTCGACTCTTTCCTCCTCAACTCAACTTCCTCCTGCTACATTGATCCATTGGTACCTTTTCCCTCCAGCTTGGGGTTTACTTAACCTCGTATTCGTCTTACTCGAACAAGGCGAATTGATTCTCACTCTTCGGATCTGTACATACTTGTTTACGATACATCATGAACAGCAATACCCAATTCACAGACCGGGCCAACAAGGCCCTCCTCGATTCAAACGACCTCGCTGAACAATACGCACATTCACAGATTCTCCCTTTACATCTTGCAGTGTCCTTATTGAATCCTCCAGCTGGCGGCACGGATGACGAAAATCAACCTGCTGGCGTCTCGGGAGATTCATCCTCAGCGCCCCTTTTCAAACAGGTCGTTGAGCGCGCGCGTGGAGATCCTCAACTACTAGAACGAGCGTTGATGAAACTGCTTGTTCGACAACCGAGCCAAGATCCGCCGCCAGAACGAGTTGCCGTTTCCCCCGCCCTAGCAAAAGTCATTCGAGCCGCCACCGAGCTGTCGAAAACCCAAAGAGATAGCTTCGTTGCTATTGACCATCTGATCGTTTCCCTTGTCCAGGACAGCCAAGTCCAGAAAGCCCTTTCCGACTCCAACATTCCGAACGTGAAGCTTATCGATAATGCTGTTTCACAAATTCGAGGCAACAAACGAGTGGATTCCAAGACGGCCGATTCCGAAGAGGAACACGAAAATCTCAAAAAGTTCACAATTGATATGACTGCTCTTGCACGGGAAGGAAAAATCGACCCTGTCATTGGACGTGAAGAAGAAATCAGACGGGTTATCCGCATTCTTACTCGCCGAACGAAGAACAACCCTGTCTTGATTGGTGAGCCTGGTGTTGGTAAAACAACCGTGGTGGAAGGGCTTGCTCGTCGCATCGTCAATGCCGATGTGCCGGCCAATCTAGCCCATTGCAAACTCCTATCCCTTGATGTTGGTTCCTTGGTAGCCGGCAGCAAGTACCGTGGTGAATTTGAAGAGCGAATGAAAGGAGTACTCAAAGAAATCGAGGATTCTCGCGAAACTATTGTTCTCTTTGTGGATGAGATCCATCTTTTGATGGGTGCCGGATCTAGTGGTGAAGGAGGCATGGACGCTGCCAATCTGTTGAAACCAATGTTGGCTCGTGGTCAGCTTCACTGTATCGGTGCCACCACTCTCGGAGAATATCGCAAATACATCGAGAAGGACCAGGCCTTTGAGCGACGATTCCAACAGGTTCTAGTGAAAGAACCCTCAGTCCCAGAGACCATCTCCATTCTTCGAGGCCTCAAGGAGCGATATGAAGTCCACCACGGAGTCAACATTCTAGATGGTGCGATCGTGTCCGCTGCAACACTCGCAGCTCGATACCTCACGGCTCGTCGACTCCCGGATTCTGCTGTTGACCTGATCGACGAAGCGGCGGCAGCAGTCCGTGTCACTCGCGAATCCGAACCTGAGGCACTTGATAATCTTGAGAGAAGATTGCGTCAATTGCAGATCGAAATACATGCATTGGAACGCGAAAAGGATGCTGCGTCAAAAACTCGTCTCGAGCTCGCAAAACAAGAGGCAGCGAATGTCGCTGAAGAATTGCGCCCTCTACGAGAAAAATACGAACAGGAAAAGAAACGCAGTAAGGATATCCAAGATGCAAAGATGAAATTGGATTCTTTGAAAGTCAAGAGGGACGAGTCCATGCGCTCTGGTGATACTGCAACAGCCGCCGATCTTGAATACTATGCCATCCCGGAAACTCAAGCTTTAATTCAGCGACTCGAGACTGAGAGAGCCAAAGCTGATGCCGAGGATCGTGCTCGAGCAGGCAATCAAGGAGAAACACTGATGCCCGATGCCGTTGGCCCCGACCAAATTAACGAAATTGTTGCTCGCTGGACCGGTATTCCTGTAACGAGACTCAAGACCACCGAGAAGGACAAATTGCTGCAGATGGAGAAGCACTTGGCCAAAATTGTTGTCGGTCAGAAAGAAGCTGTACAATCTGTCTCCAATGCAATCCGCTTGCAACGTTCTGGTCTGGCGAACCCAAACCAGCCTCCTAGCTTCCTTTTCTGTGGACCCTCTGGTACTGGTAAGACGCTTCTAACCAAAGCGCTTGCTGAATTCCTCTTCGATGATCCAAAGGCTATGATACGATTTGATATGTCCGAGTATCAGGAAAGACATTCACTTAGCCGTATGATCGGTGCGCCTCCAGGCTATGTTGGCCATGATGCTGGTGGGCAACTGACCGAAAATCTACGCCGCCGTCCATTCTCTATCCTGCTATTCGATGAGGTTGAGAAAGCTGCGAAGGAGGTTTTGACAGTCTTGCTTCAACTCATGGATGATGGACGTATTACCGACGGCCAAGGTCGCATTGTTGATGCAAAAAACTGTATAGTTGTCATGACTTCGAACCTTGGTGCAGAGTACCTAGCTCGTCCAACAGCTAAAGACGGCCGAATCGAGCCCGCCACACGAGAGTTAGTCATGGGTGCGCTGCGCGACTACTTCCTCCCTGAATTCCTCAACCGTATCTCCAGTATTGTCATCTTCAATCGTCTCACCAAACGCGAGATTCGCTCGATTGTGGATATCCGCCTTAACGAAATTCAGCGGCGTCTGGAACTCAACGATAAGGACCTCAAGATTAATTGTACGGAAGAGGTCAAGGATTACCTTGGCGATGCCGGCTACTCACCTGCCTACGGTGCCCGTCCACTGTCTCGTCTCATTGAACGCGAGGTTCTCAATAGACTTGCAGTTTTACTTCTCCGTGGTAGCATCCAAGATGGTGAAATTGCCGAGGTGGTCATGAAGGATGGCCGTATCGACGTTCTGCCTAACCACACTGAGAGTGAAGTAGCCGATGAAGAAATGGTCGATTCTGACGATGCATTGGCAGAAATTGAAGAGAACAGCGGTGATATGGATCTCTACGAGTAAAGGGTTCACTTGAAATATTTATTGACTTTGCATGATTTGTTTTCTAACGACATGATGAAAAGGGCTTTCATTTCCTACTTGTTTTACTGGCTAAGCATGGCAAGGCGTTTTTGGATTTAAGATTTTGTTAAAAAGTTTACATTTGTTCCTTGTTATCATGTACATACGATTTCATTACGAGAAAACACAGATAATTTCATGGAATATTAGATGGTCCTCTCCACACTTTATGCTTAGAGTACGTAGGTAGACATCAGAGCACACAGTGACGGAATGAGGGAGAGGGCAACGTCGGGTTCCAGTGCACCCAACTTTGACTTTGGAACTAGAACCGACGTCTGGGCGTCTTCAGAGATGTTCCTTTCTGAAATCTAGCTAGGCATTGATTTGACTTAAGTTTCTTTTCCTCGTTGCATGCATTTCTTAGGTAGTTCTACTAAGGTTCTCAATGCGCAGACCAACCCGGAACTCCGAGCTCTGTGAGACTGGGTATACTTTGTTGCCAGGGGACTACAAAATTCATAATTCATGAACTTCTCTCATATTTTCTTCAAATTAGAATTCCCAATTAGCAAATATGGCAAACAAAATTAGTCAAGATCATCTACTAGTAAGTGAGCACCAAGAATGTTTCGAAATTAGGGGTTCTAATAGAGCAGATCACCGGTGTCACCGGCTACATTGGATTCCAGACACTCACATTAGCCCTTGAGAGAGGATATCGCGTTCGCGCGGTAGTTCGCAAAGAAGCCAATATTTCCGAGCTCAAAAGAAGCCCGGACATCGCAAAGAGCTCTGACCAAGGACAACTGCAGATCGTCGTTATTCCGGACTTTCTCAAGGATTCATTCTTCGAGTGCCTAGATGGTATCAACGCTATAATCCACCTTGCATCGCCTCTAGCTATTGAGGTAACTTCGCTGTTCCAAACTACTTTCCTCTGTTAGTTTTTAAATTATTGTTTCAACAGACCGACGACTACGATGCAGATATTATCAAGCCGGCAGTCTATATGGTCACGACTGTCCTGGAAGCGGCATCCCGTGTGCCGTCAATTCGCCGTGTTGTGTTGACATCTTCATGTGGGTAAATTGATCATTGAAGACGGAAGACCGGAGAAACAAGGCTGATCAAGCTTTCAGGTGTGACGCTAATTCCATTTGAATGGAACATGAATCCAGACAGTGAGAGGTTATACAAGGGTATGGCACCGCAAGTCTCGACTTAATATTCCACAGTCACTTAGATATTCTGAATTCCAGTAACGGACGTGAACACGAGCGTCGAAGGCCCATTCTTCGGCGCGATGCAAGCTTACTGGGCCTCCAAAGCCCTTGCTCGAGTTGCAACAAAGGACTATATTCGCGAAGCTAAACCCCAGTTTGATTTCGTTAACCTTCTGCCCTCGGTGGTGATTGGCCCTGATGATCGCCTTGATTTTGACCCATCTGCGACTGCTGAAAGCCTCCTTCAAGGTACACGGGCTTCAGTACTTGCACCTGCGCTTACGTCTTCGCTCAATTCTCCGTTCCCCTACGTTGGAACCCCGGTGCATGTTGCCGATGTTGCGCGGGCTCATGTTGACGCAGTGGATGCAGTGCGAGTTCCTGGATATTCTGAATTCATTTTGTCTTCAGACACACCAGATGGAGTCGTTTGGGATGTTGATATCCGTAATATCTGCAACAAGTCCTTTGCAGAAGAGGTGTCAAGCAAAGTATTGCCATTGGGGGGATCGTTGACCGCAGTGAAATGGAGGCTGGATGCTCAGGAAACACATGAAACATTTGGATGGCAATTCATGCCCTTTGAGGAAACGATGAAGGGCCTTATTTCACAGTATCTACGGCTCAATGAAAGAAAGGCACCGTGAATTGCTTCATGGCGTTGGTCAAATAGTTGAATGAAGTCATATAATAACCGATAAATACAGTGTGTTCAAAAATATTTTCTTAGATGTGCTTCGATGCTCAACCTAGGGCTCCTAGTATAACTCTATCTAGGCAACTACTTCGGCACATAGACAGCTTCCACATTGTTCCCATCCATATCAGAGATAAAGGCCGCATAGTACGGCTGGCGGCTCATCTCTTCTCGAATTCCCGGTGGTCCATTGCAACGCCCACCGTGCTGCCTGGAACTTGATCAGCAACCCTTAATATAGCAGAAATTTACCAAGGTATATCAAGCGGAGGCGACCTACAGTGCGACTCGGTAGAACTGATCTACCGCTTCTCGATCTATTCCATCTCGGTCAGCTAGCTGGGGCTTTGTCTCCATATTGGGCAACCTTACTTGGAGCATCAAACGCAATATGATTTGAAAACGGTTCTTTATTATCGGGCAATTGCTTCAGCCAGAAATAAGGATAGTCACTGCCGTATCCGATGAGCGTGTTGTCGTACGCGCAGATCATCTCAGTATAGCCGATTGGCTGTAGTATGGTTCGATAAAATGACCGCAAAGATTGAAAATTTGGCAGCTGAAGCCCAGAAGAAGATATGGTTGATTGTCATTGTGTAGAATGGATTCCACGAGTTTGATCATCTTCAATGAGATGGGCTTTTAGGGCTCAACTAGTTAACGTAATCCACACCCGAGCAGATCACACCACCGAGCGGATTACTCAACTCCAAGCACGTCAAATGAGTCAACTCTCTATATTCAACGCGCCAATATGCCACTAATTCCTAATAAAAATCAATCAAATTCTCAGGAACAAGAAGGATGAATCTTATTAGCTATATCCAATTTTAAAAATAAAAAATTATTATTAATTTGTCATATAGTATATACTTATAATATACTATATATAACTCTCTCACATCACCTTAATAGTATCCCAATAAAAGCTAAGATACATGCAAATAGGTATAAATTAATTTAATTTAAAAAGAAATCGCTTATTAAATAGATATTAGATTTAAATAAATAAGAATTACCTTTCTAATCCTTTATAATATAAAATATAGCTAATATTCTTCTTTCTTAATATAGAAATTAAATAGTTGGCAAGAATTAAATTTATAATCTAGTTAAATATTATTTAAAACTAAAAATATAATTTTTATAAAGATATAACTATAAGTATATTAAATGTAAAAATCTAAAGATAATTAAGAAATATTTTAATTATATATAAAAGATTATAGTTAAATATAAAATTTTATTAAAAAATATCTATAATTTTAATAAGACTAACTTTATAATAGACCTCTACATAAATATAAAGATTATTATTAAAAATAATTAATATAACTATCCACATCTACTACAGCTTAATAATTAAGAATAAATAATTATAATTAAGATAGTTAACTCTACTGGCTAGATCTTACCCTTATATATGTGACGGCCTAGTACGATTTGGCTTGGCGGCACACGGTTACTGCGGAAGTACCCGCGGGCCGCCTCCCGTGGACGAATCACATGCAGGGAAGATATGAGGCTAGATATACCTTATAGGGATTACCCCATGTTTTGATTCATACTGTAGATTGCCAGAGGATCTATATGATATTAAGAAGGGTAAATAACCTTTACCAGCCAGTATTCTACATTATTAGAATCTTTTAAAAATCTAGATTACTAGACACCAGCACATAACAGAGATAGCTTATAGATATCTAAAATAAAAGAAAGTATAAATAAAAGAAAAAAAACTAGTAATTATTTTTTTCTCTTTTTCTTCTCTCCAATTTAGTCTCTTTATGTTTAATAACTAAATAAATTTAATATTATATTATTATATTAAACTAAACTCTTATTTATTTACTAATACCAATCTTTATAAATTTATAAATAGACTAATATCTTAATTCTAGATAACTTAATATACTTAATTTAAAATCACTCTTTTTCTTATTTTATTATCCTTAAACTAAAATCTAGATTCTAGACTCAAAAACTAAAATAATTTAATTACTTAAACTAGCACCAAAGAAGCTAGATAAATATTATCTATTATATCTTCTCCTAGAAGTAAAAAATAATAAAAAATAAAAATCTTAAAATATTAAATATAAAATATTTAAAAAACATATAAATAAAAATCTAGTTATATTATTGTCGGAAACTTCGGTTATTTACCGTCGAGTATAGCTAGGATAGCTATTAACGGGCGAAGTTAATAGGCTTCTGGTATACGAAAGTTGTAAAGAAACAAATGAAGTCTTAAAACAAGATAGAATATCCTGATCGATAGAAGATCGTATACTCAAGTTATCTCAGTGAATTCAAGACGATA